ATATATATGTTTTAACAAGTTACAAAGCTACGACATTTAGTTATCAACATGTTGTTTTAAAATGGATAAAAACAGCAGTATGTTTTCATATCCTTATAACGATAGGTGGCTACCTAGATGGTCACCTAGTAAATATAAAATTGTCGGAATGTAGTGGCTAGAACAAAGCTATAATATGTAGCCGTCGATAAATCGAAACAACGCTGCTAGATAAAAACCTGCACCTTGACGCCATTAACTTGCTTTAGATTTGTTGTTATCTTGTGGCTAACTACAATGTTATGATATGTAGCTTACAATACATCTTAGTAATATTAATTGCTACAAAGCTGCAACATCTAGATAGCGACATGTCCTAATAAAAATGCAATAATATAAGTTCAATTATAATCATAAATATTTTAGATTCAATATTAATAATCAAATATTTCAAGACGTAGAAGAGAAAATGAAACAATAATGTGAGAAAAAAAACTCGCATGAGTTGTTTTAAAACTAGCTAATCGCGAGCATTTCTCACCAGGCACACTCTTCCACCTGCTTTTCAAAATCTCTCATTTGATGAATAACTTTATAAATAAAAATTTAGAATTATTTTCAATTTTTTATTAATCTAAAGACCGTGTTTTTGCTAGACATTTGAAAACTTGTTTTGATGCTAAATAAAAATTCTTTAAATTTCTCAAAATATTTTTGCATGCTCCTAATATTAAGGTATAGATAGTGCTCCTAATTTTAAGGTATAATAGTGCATTAACATCTATCTTAGCAATAAGGTGGAAAGGTCTTTTGAACCATCATAATAAAAGCTTATACTTTCCGTTCTCTCTCCATCTTTATAAAAGCAAATATATGAATCGAAATGATTTATGAGATAATGAGTACTTTTTTACTTTTTTTGAACGTATTTTTTATTGGAAAAGTTTCAACTTTATGTTATTATCATTTAAAGTTAAATTTTGAGCATTTTTAATTTATTAGATAAAATATTTAAATTGAGAACTCAATCTCGATTAAAAAATCTAATTTATTATTTTAAAATATGAATCAAAAGAAATAATAATAAAAAAGAATTATTAATTATAAACTTGTCTTTGAGTCACGAATGATCAAGTTTATCATACGATATTACAGCATCAGTTGTCCTCAAAACTCTTTTCTTAGTTTCTGGGCAGAAGTGTTCCCTCCAGCTGGTATATTATACCAATTTGGTTTAGTTTTTGCGCTTAAGTCTTCATTTATGTAAATACTTTTTTCTACTTAAACCTTTATGCGTATTTTAAAATGCTTTTATAGTTTAATCGTTTACTTACGATTGATCGACGATTTATTTGTGACTGGTAATCCAGTTCTTGGTACCCTTTTAATATTAATATTTTTTTTAGCTAAATGTGCCCGTAAATAGTTTCTACAACTTCGCTATCATTCCAACTTTCGTTTTTTTGCTTCTTGACCGGTCTTCAATTAAGGCTTTTTTATTTTTGTTTTTAGTGTTTCACTTTTGTATTTGATTTTGCCGCTAATCTCTTTTATTTTTATATTAATTTCTTTAACTCTCTTTTATTTTTATATTAACTTCTTCAAACATAGTCGAAACAACCTCTTAGTTAGTTTGAATAGATTTAGGAATATCACTGCAATCGGCTCGAAGAGACACTTTTCTGTTTATGGTATCTAATTCCATTGTAATGTGATTGATTTTTGTTGAGTTTTAGCTATTGTCTTTTTCTTTCATATCTAGTCGCTCTCTGAGTTCCTATGTGGCTGTTATAGAAAAGAAAACTTTTTTATGATTCTCTAAAAACTTTCTTGTTTTTTCAAGGTTATCTTTTTTTTGTTTCAATGCCATTTTGAAAATTATCTTCATACGAATTTTAAATTTTAACACAACAAGTAGATAAAAATTATTAACAAAATAGATAAAAATTATTTTTTCCCGTGATTTGAAAAAAAAAAATTAAAACAATGGAAACATTTTTTTGCTTAAAAACACATCCGTTCATCGCAATACTTATTTCGAGTGCTCCTATAACTTAACTGAGTACAAGTTTGATTCGTCAATCTAATGTAACAAATATCCACATAGCATAAATAATATACTCTAAAATGATTTAATATAAAATAAATTCATAAATTTAACCCTTAAAAAAAAATTAAAGTTTTTGCTCGAATCAAACTTTTTAATTTAAAAGTTAAAAAATGAATTTACTTAATCCAAGCAGTAGCGTGGCGACAAAAAATAGATCTCCACGCAAAATTTTAATCCGGGCCCCTAAATTACTTTCTGCTCCTCCCCCCTCCCTCTCTTCCTTTTTCTTGACAAAAATTAAACGTAAAAATAAAAACCTTATACAATTAATACAATAAACCCCTTAATACAATTTTGACTTAAACCAGAAAGTTACATTATGCAAGTCTAGTAAGTAGAAAATCTAATAAAAATATTTCATTGTTTTTATAGCTGTAAATTGGTCAATAACACCTTTTAAATTTAATTGAGCTTCAGTAGCTATTAGGTCTAGTGTAGACAAAACGATTTGCGCCATTGTTGTCCTTAAATGTGTTTTAATGTGCTTAAGGATCTTATATATATATATAAATATATATATATGTATATATATATATATATATATATATATATATATATATATATATATATATATATATATATATATATATATATATATATATATATATATATATATATATATATATATATATATATATATATATATATATATATATATATATATATATATATATATATATATATATACAAAAGTAAAATAGACAACAATTCGTTGTCATTTAAAGAAAAAATAAAAAGAATTAAAATTTAAAGAAAGAGTAAGATCAAGTGAAAAAGAAAAAATAAATAAGATATTATCATTTCTTAAAACTTAAAAATTTAAACTAAGATTTAAAAATAAAAGGTAAATAAAAAATATACACCATAGAAATAACATAAATAAATAACTATACTTCATAGAAATAACGTAAATAAATTAGCAAACGCGATAGAGGTAATTCCATAATTAAGGTAAAAAAAAAAAAAAATGTTGATACACTTAGTGACATTTTTGTATTAATAATTTTTTTGTTTTCGAGTTTTAGTTAAAAAAAACACACATTTAAAATCGGATATATTAAAATCCATGAGTAAGAGTGCCTGTTTTGATTCATTTTTAAAATCCTCTAAACTGGTTTTATGTGTATTTATAATCTTGGGAAACATTTTCAACAAGTAAGGTTTACGATAAAGAACTGAATGTGAAATTAGTTTGGAATTATATTTTGGGAAAACAAAGTTGTTATTTAAAAATTTTAAAGAATTATTGTTTGAAATGGTTTAGTCCTGTATATAATAGCTAAATTTTTTGATATTTTATTTTAATACTTATTATACGTAAATTCTAACGTAAATGATCATTTAAAATCACGCCTAGAAAGTATACTGAGTTTTCTCTTTTAATTTTAGTGTTATTGAAATCACGCCTAGAAAGTATACTGAGTTTTCTCTTTTAATTTTAGTGTTATTGATTATTAGATTAGACAATTTGATGGGAATATTTATTTGATTTATTCACTTTGTGGAACAAAATAAATTTGGTCTTATCCACATTTAGAGAAAGTTTATTACTTATAAACCACTCATTAACTTTCGATAATTGTTCGTTTATTGTTTCAAAAAGTGTATTAATCTCTGTGAGAATAAAAAAGGTTGGAGATCATTAATGTAAAATGAATATATGACTACACAGGTTAATTAATTTATATCTTTTAAATTAGTTGGGCAGTTAGATTATTATAAACCAACTATTTTCAGTTGCCTTAATTTTTCACTTGAAAGATTTTCTTTTATTCTAAAATATTCATTTTTTAAAAAAAAATTTTATGATCAGTTACTTGCTTTTTGAAATTTGCTTGCTTCAGAAATGCCTGAATCATCTAGATAAATCAACTAAATGATGTAAGCATTTGTGTAGACATGCCAAATCAAAAAAAAGTAGTAATAAAAAAAACGAAATCTCACCTTGAAAGAAGTTTAAACTCGTTTTATGTTTATCTGTTACTAATAACAGTCTCCGAGAAAAAAAGTTTTTTAGTTAAAAAAAAGAAATATTTTTTTGGTTTTCAAAACCATTCCAAGGCCGAAAGGGTTAAAACAGTCGAGAAAGCTACTACTATCAGTTAATAGTTTATTAGTTTTTAATTTAGTAATTATTATAGTTTATAGTATTATAGTTAGTAATTTTCTATCCCAAAAATGAAAATGTGCAAGTTGCTTATTTTGCCCCATGAATATTATTTTAGTTGCACAAAAAATCAACCTTAAATCCAGTTAAAAAATATATAAATAAAAAATTCCTTTTTTTTTATTTATATATTTTATATATAGGAAAAAATAAGATTCCTTTTTCAGCAACAAGAACTGGATTGCTAGTTAATTACTTCTGTACTCCATCGCATTACTTAGGAGATTTTGAATAATCATTATAACATTTTATCTATAAGAAAAATGTAAGTTTGAGTAAACAATTTATTATATTGTTGTATTCGCTACCGGTTACAACCGGTAAGTTGTATTCACTACCGGTTACAACCTCACTATTTTTTCCGAATTTCCCACCACGTCTTTAGTAGTACCACAGTGTGGCACTACTAAAGACGTGGTGGGAAACTCGGAAACTTTCGAGCACTTTACCACTACTGAATTAAATAACATCTTTCTGTAATTTTTGTTTATATATAACTTAGTCGAAATCGTAAATAACATCAATGTTTAGAATATATTTAATCTGAAATTAAAAAAAGTAGGTAACTTTATAAATAACTTGTATAAAGTTGAACGTGTTTACTTAGTTTGGAAAATATGCGTTATAAATGCGAAAAGATACGCAACATAAATATTATTTATATAAATTAACATAAATGTAATAAATTAATTAATATAAATGTAATATAAATATTAATTTCATATTACAAAAATAAAACCAATATTTTTTCACAAATACACCTATTTATTTTATTCATTATTAACAAAAACATAACAAAATTACATAGAAATTAAGCAATTAATAGTTTGCTGTACCAAATAAAATTTTTCTCCGTGAAAAAATAACAAAATCTATAGCCCGTACTTTTTAATTGTAGCAATTCATTAGAAATATAAAATATATTTAAAAAAGATACAGAACAATATTTGTGAATAAATACAATTTGTCCATTTTCAAAAATATAATTATTCGTAGTTTACTGAAACTTAAGATCTGCAACAATTTTATTCAGTAAGGATTAAACCTTAAAAAGAGTGACTATTTAAATTTTGCAGATATTTTTAATAATATTGACACCTTTAATGAGGTGTCAATATTTAGAATTTTTAAAGTGTTGAGATTATTTAGAAGTGTCAGCATTAAGAAGTACCATTACTTAAAGGTGCTTATATTATTTAGGATATAAAAAAAAGTTTAAAGTCGCTAGCTAAAGATTTCTTTTACATCATCTAGAAGAAAACTTTGTGACATTCCTTCTGCATATTTTAGCACATGCTTTCTGATGTAGATAAGCCAAACTACGGAGGAGGCATTGGTATAGGTTTTTTAGTTGATTCATTAGACGTAGGCTGTTCTGTTATCACATTTGTTGAACCATTGCTTTCATAACTAGTAGGACATTTTTCAAAAGTCATTCCTTCAAAAGATTGTTTATCTTTCTTGGGCTCTTCGGTTATTACTCCCCCCTCCGACTTACTGTCTTCTGATTGGCTAATATCATCATATGCAGGAGGTTCCTCTTCAGCATCTTGTTTGTACTTTCCACAACAAAAATTGCAGCAAAAACAAAAACAACAACAGCAAAAATAACAACCAGTAATTATTCCGCAAAATATCATTAGCCCCTTGCACCAGCCACTACTTAGAAGGAAGTAAGTTTTCACATTCTAAATAAATAATTTTAAAAATGACATAATTCTTTAGTTTAAATGAAGGATTAAAAAACATTAAGCTGTAATAAAACATTTTAGTAAATAATTAGTCGTTTTAAAATAAAAACTATTTTCGTTTGAACATGTCATCAATTCACGCTATTTCTTTCAGAAATATTTTAGGAATTTTGATAACTTATGCAAGCCTTTTTTTTTTTTAAATTTTTTTAATTACTCAACTTTTATTAATAAAATTACTCAATCTGTTTTATTCTACACTAGTGTTAAATATCTTAAAATTGTAATGAAAAAATTTACCTAAATAATCTGACCTACTGGTCTAATATTATAAAAATTGATTTGATTCAATTTGTACATATCAATATTCAAAAATTAATCAAAACCATTTTTGCATATTCAATTTTTTTTCCTAGAACAGATAAATAAGAGAGTAAAAAAAAAATTGCCTTTATGAAGAAATAGTACTTGTGTAAATGTGGACTACATAAAGAAAAACAATGGGATCAAACCTTAATAATTTTTTGAAATAGTACAAAACTTACTTTACACACAACAGCATTTAGTCAGAAAGAAACTATTTTATTATTATCAACTGCTTTAAAAATATTTACCTCTTCACCAAACTGTTCAGCTATATATAAGCCCATTGTTCCATATCTATCATAGATTTCTTTTTTGTTTGGATCTGAGAGAATAGCATGAGCATGATTGATTGCTTTGAACTGTAAAAATAATAAAATATGTCTATATCTATAGATCTATTTATCTAGTATATCTACATATATATATATATATATATATATATATATATATATATATATATATATATATATATATATATATATATATATATATATCTGTGTTTGTGTGTGTGTGTGTGTGTGTGTGTGTGTGTGTGTGTGTGTGTGTGTGTGTGTGTGTAGTGATTGTCATATAAAGGCATAGTCATTATTTTCAAACTAGAGTCCTGCACTTAACTCAGCATATTGTCGGGGATAATGCAAATACGCGTAACTAGCATTGGCTATTTTATTTGGATATTATTAATTTTAACACCAAATATTTATTGTTGAGATTACAAAAAACATGAATAATACTCTTTTTACTAAAATGAACCCAAAATCAGTTAAAATAAATAAAGTTTTCAACTTCTCCAGTAAAAAAAAATGTACTGTAGATATGCAGTATTATAAAATGGTAGTTACGCGGTTTTGCACTATCCCCGACGATATATGCAATTTCAATCTCAATTATTCAAGCATACAATTACTAATTATTTAAACGACTAATTACACATTAGAGTCGTTTAGATATAAACGACTAATTATTTGAGGGAAGGTTTATTAATTTTTGGAAATTTTTCTTACTATGAACTTTCTAAGATCCAAGATTAATTAATTTTTATTCATTATCAATAAAAACCTTAAATTTAAAAGAAAAAAAAAAAAAAAACTTTCAGTGTAAACTGGCCTTGAAATCTTGAAAATATAAACTCCCTGATAAAAATAAAAACTTTTATTGTAATCAGGCTTAAAAAATGGTCGACCAATAAAAATTGTAAATATTATTTTGGTAGAAAATGAGCTTTTGGTTCCACTACCAAGTACATAATATTTCTCACCATAGTATAGAACTTATATAAGTATATTAAATAAAAACTTTTTTGCTTCTTTGTTTAAAAAATCACAAGAAAATCTACAGCAGGGATTCCCAACCCTGTGCCCGAGGCACCATGGCGTCCGCGGAATAATTTGTATTTGTCCGCCACTATTCGTCAGTGAATTTTTTTTTCATAAATATTAATTTAAAATGTTAAATATTTTTATTTATTTGTTAGAGTTTTAATTTTTTTGAGTGCCTAGGTTTATTAAATACATTCATATGTTTGCGATATTGTATGTATGAGTGATTCCTTTGCTGACAGTACTTGTTGCAACAAAACTTTGCTTTATATTTACACAATTAGTTCCATAAAATTTAGTTTTATTAGAAAATTTAGTTTCATTTAGTATTAGTAAAAAATTATTAAAGGTTACATTTGTGTTTGTCAAGGTTGGGGTCAAACATATTTGATCAAATACAAATTAATTAATCAATTCTAGAATAAAAAATTAATACTAGATTCTCAAATACAAATATATGAAATCAACATTTTCCAAATACTAATGCAAATACAAATATTTTAGGTTAAGAAAAAATACAAATATTATCTTCAAGACACTACCCATAAAATGGTTATTATAGATTCGAAAGTGATAAAATGTTTCTGTGTCAATACTTATTAATAGAATTGCATTAATAGAAAAATGAAAACAAGTGTTAGCGTTAAAAATAAAATTAGTTGCAAAAAATGCCAGTCAACCTAGTTTATCGAACTACAAATACATTTTAATCTAATACAAACTTAAAATCTTTTTAAATCAAATACAATTAATACTCAAAAATTTAGCCTATTATTACCAAATACAAGTATGTGTATTTGACCTCAACCCTAGCTTTTGTTTAATTAAAAATATAAATACTGTAAAAAATTGCATCTTAAATTGTTTAACAACAACTTTGGTAATCCCATTATGAATTTTTGTCTATTAAATATTTACACAGCCATTGAGCTTAAAATGTAAGATCAAAGAGTTACTTGAACTCAAATCACTAAATAGTCATCATTTTCTTTTAATTTATACTTGCTGAAATTTTTCCAGGGTGACTAAAATCTTATTTATGTCAGTTGCTTAATATATAATAATCTCTGATCCACCATTTTTAGTCAGATGAGAAACAAACATTCAACCCTATAGAAATTATTAAACAGTTTTTTTTTGCTTAAAATACTCAATGAATTTCGACAAAAATAGAACTAAACATTTTAAAAACATTTTTAAAAATCATTCTACATTCAGGGAGATTTATAGCAATAGGTAAACATTAGACAGATCTTCAACTTTTTTAAAGATTAATGAAGATTAATAGTTCTATGCAAAAGTTTTTTACCTGTTATTTTTTTTTTTGGCTACCAATTTGTTTTAACTTATATTTTAAGAAAAAAAAAAAACAAACAATAAATAGAACAATACAATGTTAATAAAAATAATGATATTATAGAAAAAAAGTTATAAATTACTTTTTCTGTTGCTTCTGGATCATCTCGATTTTTGTCTGGGTGATGCTTTAAAGCCATCTAGTACAATCAAAAATGAAAATTAATATGCATATACACAATAATAAAACCTGTATATTGTGGAAAGTAATATTTGCCAATATAGTACCATTATACTATAATAAAAGCAACCCTCAGAATTAGGAAAAATAATTTGCTGACCTCAATAATTTGCTGACCTCAATCTTTTTGTGCTTGGCATCAGGTTAGCAAAAACTATTTGATACTAAGGTCTAACCATAAAACATAGAAATAAGGTCAGCAATTTTTTGCCAAACTTAAACACTTTCAGGTTGGCAGTTAGGTCAGCATTGCCGAATGCCGACCCTAATTCCGAGGGTTGATAAAACACAAGATACTATAGATATTAAAGTATAATTTAGTACCTTCCGATAAGCTTTCTTAATTTGATCTGGTGTAGCATCTCTCTCTATGCCAAGTAACACGTAAAAATCAGCTTGTCTAATAATAATAATAAAAAAAAGGTTTGAAACATATTCTGTACTTTCATATATTTTATTTTTTATATTATTTGTTATAGATATTTATTTTTTTAAATCTATTTATTAAGGTGCTCCAAAAATACTTAACCATTATTACAGAGAACCAAGGAGAGCATTTAATTAGGAAGTTCACATACTCAAAAACACGTTCAACTTTGACTTAAATAAACTTCATCTCAGGGTTCTTAGTTGAGTTTAGACAAAGGTATTTTGATAAAAACATTTGTTATGGGCAGATGTTAACATCTGGCTTCTGCTTTTTAGAAAACATCATGTCTTGATGTTTTTTTCACCTATGCAGATTTTGAAGTCTTCTCTTAACTATTTTTTTGTTATTTAACTTTCTTATTTGCTTTCTGTTAATTAACGACATAATATTGATTGCAGCTATTTTGGAAGTGTTATTAAAAATATATATATTAAATTGCATAATTTTGTCTCTAAAATAAAAGTATACCAATATTATATAGAGAGTTTGGCTTTTTTAACACAACTATTTTCATAATGCAGGATTTTTTTTTTAAAAACATTCATTTTGAGAATTAGTAAATCAATTTAAAAAGACTGATACCAATACCGATTGTGCAAAAAGTGATAGATTAAGCTGATGCCAATCAATTGATACATCAATAATCAGGGTGTTAACCATAAATAAATTTGATACAGCGTTTTAACGAATTTGTCAAAATATTTTCCCATCCTCCCCTCTCCCTCCCATGAGATTAAAATGTGTTCTGGGATTGCGTGGGGTCCTCTTTTTATACTTTTTTTTTGTTTTCTACTCTACTGTGGCGCTGAATAGATTGATTGGACAGCGCCAAAAATAAAATAAATTTAAAAAAATACAGTCTGTAACATATATTAAAGATAAATATGAAATCAACACAAAATTAGACATAGTTTCACAACGACATGGCAAATTAAGCTCCTATTTCCAAAGATATATTAGGAACTATATATTTTTATATTATAAAATTATCAGTGTATATTAATTATTATTAAGAATAATATATTTGATTTATTTTTAATCTTAATATATCATTACCGCTTTTATTTTAAGAGTATTCTTTTGAATATATATTTCTTTTTCAATGGTGGGCATTAAATGGCAATTTTTAATGTAATATAACAATTTGAGTACAAAAATACACTAGCTCAGCAATAACAAAAATAAATGTCATTTAATTACAAAAAAAAATTGATTACAAAAAACTATTTGCAAATTTTGAGAAATGAATTTTACAAGCAAGTTTCAGAGAAAATTCCAAAAATCGCTGTGAAATTTTCTATTCTCAAGAAGTTTTTTCCAAGAGACATTTTTGCAGTTATGCAATCACATAAATATATCAATAACAGCAATTTTATTTCAATTTTTGTACATTTTTTAAAAACTTTATTTTAGTGCCCCAAGAAGTCCTTATGATCTTATTACAAAGCACCGCAGAAGAGCATTTAATAGAAAGTTCACGCCTCCTTCCTAACCGATGTTACAAAACTTGCCCAGAGGTGGGGTTCGAACCAGGGATCCTTTGTTTTTTAGACAAATGCACTACCACTGCACCACAACTGCTAATTAATAAATTAGAGTTTTTTATGTTATTTTTTAATTAATTTTTAAAAATAATTAATTTTCAATAATTTTTAAAATTATTATTAAACTTTAACTTGGCAAACTTTGTTTGGTAAATGGGATTTTTTCACCTTTAAATTAGGAACTTAATTTTATTGAGCATTTGGGAACACCGCGCTTGATGGAGCCCTACCAGGCTAGTTTACGCCCTGTTAATATATTATTATTTATATAAATATATATATATATATATTTATATATATATATATTTAATTACTTTTTTAAAAAACCGCAAAAACGCAAATTTAATTGACCAGTATGTTTTTAAAAACATTCTGAATGTTTTTAAAAATATAAACAATGTTTTTATTTTTATTTTTTAAATAAAATGTTTTTATTTTTATTTTTTTTACTGTAAATCATGCGCGAGTGTTGCTACATCGACTATTTTATAGCCTGACTTGCAACAGAGTGCTGCTACATTGACTGACAAATAGCCTGACTTGCAAAAGAGTGCTGCTACATCGACTGAGGGTTTAGTTTGGGCAGGCAGTCTATCAAATAATAATTAAAAAAAAAAAAAAATTCTGGTCTTGCATTTAAATTTCTTTGTTATGTCAACAAAATATTGGAAAACTTTCTGACCACGTTGCAAGAGTCTAAATATATATATATATATATATATATATATATATATATATATATATATATATATATATATATATATATATATATATATATATATATATATATATACATATATATATATACAGGTTGTTCAAAAAATTCAAAATATTTGTTACGGTAAATTACCTTACTAAACCAGCTCGTGATATATGAAGCCATACTTTAAAAAGTCGACGGAAGGAGTACCCAAACTTATGCAAATTAGCAAGTTTAATTATATGCTTATCTGGGTCGAACTCATCAGTAGAACGAGCCTTTAGTCTCCTGACAATGCTTATGACAGATCAAAGACTGCGTATTAATCACAAAACACTTAACGCTATCTTGGCTATTAAAATAAATGATCCGAATTTTACCAATAGTGACAGAGAAAATGTTATTGAACGTGTTACTGATGTTTTTTTACAAAAACGACGAACAGCTATTTTTGATCCGATCAGCTTAAGACTTGCTACAAAAGAAAATGACAAAAAAGAAGACATAGATTTCATTGAATCAGATTTAAGCAGTGAAAGTGAATTGGAAATATCAGAATCGAGTGGAAGTGAAGAAACTGAGTTAAATTTTGAAATTGAAGAAGTTTTGCCCTAATTTTTGTGAAACAATTATTAATAAATAAAATATAACTATACACGTTTCCTTTTTTATCCTATGTATAAAAAAATATAAAAACATTTATCTTCATAATTTCTTTGTTATACTAACACTATTTAACGCATTTGAATTCAATATAAATATACTTTACAACAATAAATCTGGTATCTATAATAAAACTGAATTCAAGCTTGTTGGATAAAAGTCAACAAGCGGTTGAATTCAATCTTTTTTTCGTTTATATAACGCTTATATACATGCTTATATTGTATATAAAGTAACGGAAGCCCCGGTATCTTAAGAAATTATTAGTACTTCTAAATAAAAACTTATTTTATTAAAAGAAATTAGATTTCAAATTTTTTATTTACGTATCAGAATAACTATTTCCGATCAGGATAGGCATAGGTAAAGCAAAGTTATAAAAATATAAATAACAGTTTGAGTTTTTAATTTGCACGCCCAATAGAATGCAAGAGTATATAAATAATTCAATTTGAAAAATAACATAGTTACGTATCATATTACCAAGCTAATACCAAACAATTCTAAAACTATCGAGCTCATTGATTCAAGGTTAAAAAAAAAAAAGATTTCAAACTATTTGCTGAATAATTAAAAAAATTAGATTTTGAAAATATTATGTAATATTTTTATTCACAAAGAATAAGAGAAACGAATGAACTAAAAAAGCACGATAAAAACCTGTATAATTTAATCGAATACTTGAATAAAACAATAATATATAAATATACTCAAAAAGACTTCGGTAAAAAAACACGTTAGGATGCTTGAATAAGGAAACGTGATGAAACGCCATGGTTGTTTCGAGGATTTTCCCCGTCGTTTTCACGTTCATTCGTTTGACTATATCTGCCAGATATTATCTGGAATAAAGATTAAAAAAAAACAACAAAAAACTGAATAAAGTTTCTTCGAGTAAGAAATCTAAGCAAAAGCAACCATAAAACAACTAACCCACGTGAAACGAAATTAGATCTGTGCAAGTGAAAACTTTGAAAAACTAGAAAACTTTTAAAATCTAGACGGGCGGCCCTCATAGCCGGTTAAGTCTATTTAAGACGGGCTTTTCATAGCCCGTACGGTTTTTAATCCTGCCGAAGCCTGTATATATATATATATATATATATATATATATATATATATATATATATATATATATATATATATATATATATATATATATATATATATATATATATATATATATATATATATATATATATGGAGCGATCTAGTAGAAGTAACAATTGTAGAATACGCAGACAATTTACAAAATCAAGAATTCGTCACCATTTCTTTACAAACAGAGTTATAAATGATTGGAATTCTCTTCCACAATGGATATTAGATAAAGATAATTTGAACATTTTTAAAAACAGTATCGATAATTATTTTGGTTTCTGAACACTAATTTTTGTAATCGGCTGTCATAGTCTTAATTCTACGTAATTAAGACTCTACACACCTCAAGTGTGTACAGTACCTTTTCTATTCTATTCTATTCTATTCTATATATATATATATATATATATATATATATATATATATATATATATATATATATATATATATATATATATATATATATATATATATATATATATATATATATATACATACATATATATATATATATATATATATATATATATATATATATATATATATATATATATATATATATATATATATATATTACAACCCAAAAAAATGGGGATATTTAGCTAAAGTTGATGGGATAATTAGCAACAACAATAATTGATAGAATAAAAAGCTGCTTATTAACTGTTGAAAATGATCTAAAATGAAGGAAGGAGAAGTTATATTTTTAATACAGATGCTGAACAAGAAAGAGTTCTTCAACTTTTGTTGAGGTCAAGTTCAAATTTATCTGTAAACAGATGTTATTTCAATGTATATATTACTTCATTAACTATAGGGTTGATAAAATAATAAAATCGTTGATACTAGGAGTTTAAAAACAAATGAAAAATTTGACAAATCTTATTCTCTTAATTATTCTAAGGCTATCAACATTAAATACCATATTGAAATAAATGAATATGAATTTTTATAAATGCCCACAATGAATCAGTAAGATAAAAAAATAATTTGAAAGCAACCATAATGTGAGTCATAAATGTTTAAGCATACTATAATGTTCACTTTAATGGTGTTTTAAGTTTTTAAACTTGAAACTTTAAGTACTCTTTAACATCCGCTAAATGCCTATTAAAAAAATTGAAACAAATTCACAAGCGATTTTACATTAATGAACTCGCAATAGTTATAAATATCATTAAATACTTTTAATTATTAAAAAAATCCAGACTAATTAAATGAGTTCAAAATTTGTTAATTGATCAACATATTGTTTGAAGTGTTAACATAAACAAAATCTATTGTTTAAAACAATAGATTTTTAACAATGTGCACATATAATTGAGAATGACTCATCAAAACGATTTAATCCCTACCACATCCCTGGTAGTACTGTCCTCAACTTGTTTTTCTACACACTGGCCTAAATCATCAAGGTTTGTGTTTCGGAGTTATAGAGTTGAGAAAGAGTTGTAACCACAACTAAAGTAGCCTCCTCGCCTTTATGGTCTTGAGGAGATGAATTGAAATAAAAACAAAAAACAAACAACGAAACAACAATAATGAGTTGCATATCAATCTCTTAAACATCCGTGGTATTCCTATAAACAGTGACATATTAAGGCTGATTTTGACAAAGGTCAAAATCAGCCTTAATATAAAAACAAGCTTAAAACAATTTTTTAGCAAATTAGACATAAAACGAGTTGAAATAAAAAGATTCATTACTTATTGTCTTGCTGCTACCATTATATCACCTAACTATATCTGCTAAGGTTGCATCTCTTTATTGAGCTTGACACTTTCTTACTCCTTATTCAATTCTCTATCTCTATAAATCTCAATTCCGGCCTTGTATGGAATACTGTTACCATATCTGAGGCGGATCTTCTAATGATGCCCTTTCTCTTTTAGATAAGGTGCAAAAACGCATTGTAAACATAGTTGGACCTGCTCTTGCAGCCAACCTTCAACCATTATCATATCTTTGCAATGTTGCTTCTCTTTCTCTTTTCTGCAAATACTATAATGGGCACTGCTCTCAAGAGCTAGGATCTCTTGTGCCATCTACTAAAATTCATTCTCATGTTACCTGTCATTCAATTAAGTCACATCCTTTTTTTATGACTGTTCCTAAGTGCTCTAAAAACTCTTATTCATCTAGCTTTTTTCATTGAACATCAGCTCTTTGGAATTCGCTTCCTTCATCTTGCTTTCCTGATTCATATAATTTGCAATCTTTCTCAATCAAGTCGTCACTCAATCGTTATATTGCTCTACAATTTTCATCTTTCCTCTTCCATTAACTTCCAACTCTAACTAGTTGTGGCTTGCAGCCTTGTTGGAAGTAAAGATGTTGAAAAGAAAACAAAAAAAAAAAAACTAAAAAATTGTATATTGTTTATGTGTTTATTCACATGGATAAATTACTGGATATGATACAATTAAATTAAAATATAAAATAAACGCTCTGATTAAATTAAAATATAAAATACTAGAACACTTTACATTTTTTAAATTGCTGTAATAAAAATATTAACTTGTTTTAAAATACGTTTGATGTATAATTCTCCCTCAAATACATTTATCACAGCTAAAATTTAAAATGCAAAGACTAAACATTCTCATTTTAAATACTAGTAAAATTGCAGTAAAAATATAAATAATAGGTGAATAATAATAAAAAAATTAGTAAATTAAAACTTAATAACATTATGATAATTGAGCTTCTATTTAATGTTTTCCTTTATTCAAAAAAAGTTTCACGTTTTGTGATGCTAATGTGACCTTATGGATATAATCAGTTTAAAATTATGACCAGTACAAAAAAAATTCTCAATAACGCATATTATATAATTGCGTTATATAAAATAATAATGAAATAAATTGGTTGATATTGACTGATAAAAAAATATTATATTTTATTTATTGTTTTTATATATACCAATAAAAACAAATTTACTGTTTTTGCATGTTTTAAAAGCTTTAGGAAAATAAATACAGTTTAATTTTTACAAAAAAAAATCACATGAATCGAACTATTGCAAAACAAATTTAAGTATCAAATCATTTCATGCTTCACTTGGTTCACAGTGCAAATACTTTTTCATAATTTGTTTTTCAGGGTCATAGGGTTATGAGACAATTATGGCATTTTTAAAAAGAGTAGCCTCCTTAACTAAAATGACTCCTTCAGCTTTAAAGTAGCAAATACAGTTAAAAAAATTGCAGTATTTTTATATAATTTTATTTCAATTTAAAGCAAGGAACTAATTTATTAAAAGAATGTAATCTGGTTAAAAAACTTTTGAATTGAGATATACCTTACTTATATGAAAATAAAATTAATATGTTAAGATGTACTTTGCTTAAATGAAAATAAAATTAAGATGTACCTTACTTAGATGAAGATAAAATTAAGACGTACCTTGCTTAAATGAAGCTTTTACTTATTAGTTAAGATATTATTAAATAAAAATAATGGAGCATAATTTATATTTTGATTTTTGTCATAGCAATTTTTTAAAGCTTTTAGAAAATATTTTTGTTTTGAGTCACTTAAAATGACTTTTTGAGATTAAACATTGCTCCTGCGTAGACATTTATTTGTGACACAACATGTAGTTAAACAAATATAATTACTTTTTTATTTGCAATTAATTATATATGGGAATAAGAGATCCTATAATAGATTCAATTTTACAGCAGCTTGTATTATTACGAAAAACTAATTATAAAGCAGTAACTGACTAAAATAATTAATTTACGGATCAAAAATTAGTCTTTAAGGTATCTGCCCCACAACTTTGATTTTTTTAGTAAAAGAAAAGTAAAAAAATGACTAGCAAGCAGCTTACAGGTATATATCAATGATTATAACAGCTGTTTAAACTCCTATCATATCTAATAATGTTTTGCTTCTTAACAACTGAGCATAAAAAATTGTCAAAAAAATTTTTAAACTCCCTTATTTATCAACAAAATGTTTAATTTAACAAATATAAATGTATTAAAAATAATAAAGTAAAAATGAAACTCTTTTTTTTGATTTTGATTAAACTTTTAAAGGTTTATTTTTTGTACTTACTCTTCGTGATGATTAGATTTCCCATTTTCGTTAGGAAACTGTTTTCCCATAGCAAAAATATTTTACATAAGTTAAATTTTAACGAGCCATTTTAATAACATTATTTTTGAATGTTTTTGTAAAGCATTAGTTTACCATAAGACCTCCATGTTTATTTCTTATTGCGAATCGCTGAGGTAATCCGGGAAACAATTTTTATAGCATGGTTTACACATAATGTTTTTCACATCACGTATTTGTACATTTTTTAAAATGGCGCTTGTTTAAATTTGGTTCTAAAGCAACAATTAAAAAGATAAACAATTAATTAAAAAAAAGCAAATTTGATGTTTTTTATATCAAGAACTAATAAATACAATTTCTGAAACAGTTTTAACAAAAATTTGCCTCGCCTAATAATCTCAAAAGATTTGGATAAGCAATTTTAAGAAAACAATCCAAATCAATAAATTAATCCAAACTTCTTAAAATTTAGATTGAATTAAGCTATTTATTTATTCTAAAATCTTACAAATAAAAAGATACCATAATGATGCAGGAGTTGTACTCAGGGTTGTCCCGCAGAGATCTTAAAAGGGGTGAGATGTATCTGTTTTGCAAATTAAGGCCGAGAAAATTTTTTTTGTCGATTAAGGTCTTTAAAATAATGTCCTTGTTGGCTAACATTTGCCAACTCCAGTGTTCAAATTTTTCAACTAGTTTTTGATTATAATTTTGCAAGGGGGATAGACACCCCCTACTCCACCTTCTCTCCCCCCCTCCACCTCCTTTTCCATTAGCCTCGGGACGGCCCTGGTTGTACTATAATAATATTTTGAAAACATGCAGTTTAAGATTAAAGGTAAGTTTACCATATTTAACCAGTTGCAGATTTTCTGTTGTGGATATATCTGAAAATATTTCATGAACTGAGTTATAATGGAATCTAATTTTAGTACAACTCCTGCATATGAATATATCCTGAAAATTTTATTGTAATTGCATCTTTTGATCTTGATATTGTATTCTGCGTATGATTACGCGGAATAGATAGATTTCAAATTTACAAATTGTAAAAAAAAAGTAAAAAAAAAAAAAATTTATCAGTTGAACACCGCCCTTATTATGTTGTTATTACCATAAAACAACTATAAATTATTACCTATGCAAACACTGTTTTTTGCTTAATTTTCATTTTAAAAGCATAATTTAGTCAAATGTTAAAAGATTTTAGTAAAGAACAATTAGCCTATTGCTAAAATCAAAATTTCGATTTTTTTTTATGACATAAAAATGCATAAGTACTGTCTGATCTCTCAATTTGTTTTTACGGTATTTGCGTAGTTGATGTGGCAATTTATAAATGATGTGTAATTATAATTTATAAATGATTTGTGATTTTAACAATTTATAAGCAATTTGTAATTTTAACTGTTGTTTATTTAATATGGTTCAAACATTATATATAGGGTAGATTAGGGTAATATGAGCACCTTAAGTAAAAATTGGAACATTTTCAAAAATAAATATGCTGGATCCAAAATTTTTGCAAATAAACAATTTTTAGGGATCCCTATTCATAATCTATTTAGATATTTGGGCACTTGACATTTTTTCTTAAAAACACAGAGGTTTTAAAAAAGTAGCAAAAGTGCTCGTATTACCCTGACCCCTTGGTAATATGAGCACTTTAAATTAGCTCAAAAAAATAGCATTAATTAAGTAAAAAAAGACCAACCTGCTTAATAGAAATAATTGTTGGAATATAAGGATTCGTGATTAACAAAACATATCATTAAAAGATCAAATTTTAAGCTACATTTTGTTGAAACAATACTACTATGTTTTCCGCAAAAAAAAAAAAAATTAATGCATTGTTTTTTCAATTTTGTTAACTCAAACCTTTGAACAATAAAAATTAAAATTTTTTAGATTTAAGTTACAGAAAAATATTTAGTATTGTTAATATATTAAAGTTTTTTACTATGTTTTGTTTTTATTCAAGAAGCAATTAAAAACCACTGCTATTTTAGGACTTTAAACTAAGCAATTTCAATGAAAAGCACTGGGTAATTTAAGCATGCTCATATTACACAAAAATGGTATCTTTAAATAAAGTCAAAAATAAATGTTTCTATGCATTATTTTTCCAACAAAAATGAATTGGATTTTTAGCTAATATATTTTTCTTTATGAAAAAATTAATTTCATTATTTTAGCACCAAAATATCGCGCCACAGAATTATTCACGCGTGATGATTTTTTTTAACAAAGCAAAAAATTTAACAGCGTTTTAATTAGATGATATCCGCTAAGGGGTCGTCCATAAATTACGTCACGCAATTTTTAACCAATTTTAACCTCCCCCCACCCCCCACCCCCCAAGCGTCACAAAATTGTAATACTTAAGAATCAAGTTTTCACAAAATCACTAACCCTTCCCCCCCCCCCCCTATAGCGTGACGTAATTTATGGACGAGCCTTAATTACTGCGTATAAATTTACGCTAATTGTACTGATTTCTGTTATCACCACATAAAGTCGATTCGAAAAACATAAAGCAACTTTAACTTCACTGCTTACATCTAATAAATCTTTAAGTATGCTCATATTACCAAGGTGCTCATATTACACTAATCTACCCTAATACCAATAGATTTTACAAGTTTTGAGGAATGCGGTTTCTCATTGTCCCAGCCATGTTCTCATTGTACCAGCCATTTCATTTTTTCTTTTCTTTTTTAATGATTATATTGACGATAAAAAGATAATGTGAGTTGAAAATCTTTGTTTTTTTTTTTAATAATAAAAAGTGTCTAAAAATACAACAACAAATAAAACTTTTATTAGCTTGTTTGTCGTTAATTAATAAGTTAACTTATATTTTCGTAAAATTTGTTTGTTGTTATTAAAGAGTTTACTTATTTTTTCACGAAATAAAACTTGTGTAATCAGCAAAGATTATGTTTTTAATTTTGAATAAAAGTCGGAGAATGAGAGAATTTCTTTTAAACCAAAATTGTTTTTTATATATCAATTCATAATAATTAGATATGTATAAACTCGGTTATACATTGTTCTATTTATCTCTAAAAATTCTTCCAATTTTTGAGAAAATTGAAAAGATTAGTATAGGGCTAGTGTTGTTTATATCAGAAGTTATCTATTTTTAGATGATCTTAAAAATATCCTTTATTAATAGATGCTCTAAACATTTTATGTCTTTCATAACATCGTAAGAATTTGTTATAATGTTTCAATTTATACCATTCGATTCTGTTACTTTGTTTTTCTATTTATACCATCAGATTCAGTTACTTTATTTTGTTAAACAATTTAAAAGCATCTTCAATGTCATTGGGCCGACGACACGGGTTTTGAAGTGGGGGGGGGGGGGAGACAATCGTCAATTTTTAAATAAAAGTCTTCTTTATCTAGAATTTATTTTTTAAAAAAAGGAGGGGGGCACGTGTCACCCATCCCCTCCCCCTCCCTTACCTCCGCTGTTGTCGGCTCTGAATCAACTCGATAAGTCAATTATTGAAGTAGAAATTTTTTGGAGTTCGAAAATCTTTAAAATATTTATCGTTTATGCATCGAATATTAATAGATAATTTTGTGGCCGTGGTTTTAAGCATTTTTTTATTTTAATTGTAATACCATTTGATTCACTTAACATATATTTTTCTATTTTTTTATTGCATGTGACAGAGAAATTTTATTTTTTTCTCCATGTGATTTCTTTCATTATATGCCGAAATTGGGAATCCCCAAACACTTAGGAAAAAATTAGATATAATATTTATGCTGGTAAAAAATAAAGTGTTAAAAGACGTTAATGAAATTATAAACACTTATTTGTTAAAATTAAAAAAATAAAAAAATTTTAAAACCCAAATAAAACACAAAGCATAAAATAAAAAATGTTACTAAAAACTGCAAAATAACAAATTTCTTTTAAAAATTGGAGAATAATACAATATATAATAATAATAATAAAAATAGAATAATTATATAATAACAATAATAATAGAGTAGTATATAAATAATAATAATAATAATAATAATAGAATAATTGGAGTTATGATTTAACCATAGTTCCAGGCCTTTTTTTACTATTAGGCACAAATTTAAAATATTATGTAACTTGCATTTTACAATCTAGGCAATGATGCAATAATCAGGCAGAAATTAACACAAATTTTGGATGACTGATTCAACAATTTTTTTTTAAATTCAACTTAGGAAGCTTCTCATGTTAAGCAATAAATTACTTGACACAAGGATATAAGATAAAAATTTTTTTTTGATTTAAAACTAATTCTTTTTTAAAAATTGTTAGGAATCAGAAATAAAATATTTAAAACGTCAGTTATTAAAAGATTTAATAAATGCATTAGAAGTTAATAATTTTTTGAAACGGTTTTTATAATATAAGTTGCTGCTGAAGAATTAATATTGGTAGAATTTATGAGATTTTGATGAGCGATGCTAGTGAGAATGCTTCTGTTTAATCATAAATCATTTATTGCTGAAAGACCATTTATTACTAATGGTTTCTTTATTGTTGTTTGCTTGTTGATAGTTCTTTATGGTCGACAGCTCCACTCCATTTTTAAACCAACTGCCCAAAATAAGTTTGCAAATTGGGGTATTTTTAAAACTAACTTTTGTTGTCGGCTTTTAAACCCATTAAATCCTTTTTTGTGATCGTTCTTTCCTTGTTGAACCGATGGTCTATTTTTAACTCTTCCGTTAGGTTATAAACAAGCCTTGAAAACTCAAAAATATTTTACTCATGCCAAAAATCAATTTATATGTTCAACAATTTTGATTTTAAACTCGTCATTTTAAAGTATTTTGAAAACGTACAAATTTGGGTCATAACTTAATTTTAGAATTTAAGCTTTATCATGAAGTGTACTATGTGGTATGTAATATTTTTGAGAAACATTTCTTATACATAATTTTTCTTTAATTATAATTTTTATTTCTTTCATAAATTTTTTTTTACTCTAAGCATCTGTCATCTAAAAATCTGTACTAGTACAATCTGTCTAGTACAACCTCAGTACCAGTCATACCTCATTTATAATGTATTTTATACATACAAAAAAGATAGGAGAGAGTGGGGTACCATGACACATGGGGCACCATGAAACGTTGTATAATTTAACCACTCTTATACGCTGAAGCAGTTACTACTAGAGCTATGTTTTGAAAAAAAAAATTATAT